GAAGGGCAGGGAGGGGGGCTGTGCTTACCAGGAGGGTGGATGGGAGCCCCCACCACCCGGCTGCTGCCCTGCTCCTGGCTGTGGTCCTGGACCATCTTAGGTGGTCCTAGAAGACATCACATGCAGTGAGCAGGGTGGGAATGACCATTCCAGGAGGAAAGAGCCTTTGCACCTAGAAGGTGCTGAGGACCGAGGTCACCCTGCCCGCAAGCCAGCAGGAGGGAGCTAGTGGAGCTGGGCAACAGCCCCTGCCCCCCAAATTGTCCCCCAAACTCATCACCAAGGTTCGTTTTAGTTGCAACTCTCTCTCTCTCTCTCTTTCCAGGTGGTAGAGGCTTATAAGCAAGGTCTCAGACCAGCTGTTGGCTATGAACTCAATCCCTGGCTGCTGTGTCTCTCCAACTACCGGGCCTGGAAGGCTGGGTACCATGGGAAGGTTTCCTTCCTGAAGAAAGATCTGTGGAAGGTAACAGCGCCCCGAGGGTCTGGCCATGCTCCGTGCTGGCCGTAGCTAGGACAGGGCCAGGCCTTGGTCTGCATCTCCAGACAGGCTTTGCTGATGGTTGCTTGCTCCTTCCCCAGCGCACGCTGCTCCCAGGAGGCAGAAAAACCATCCTTCTTTTCAGGGGAATGCCAGCCTGGGCAGCCCAGCTGGCTGCTGGTTTTGCAGGCAGCAGCGCTCCTTCTTACAGCAGCTCTGAAAAGAGGTCTTGGGTGCTGCTTGACACATGGTGGCCTTCAGAGACATGCTGCTAAAGCTGGCATCAGGTAGCCTGACCAGAGAAAACCCAGCAGGGAACGTGGCTCTGGGATGATACTGGAGGCAGGTGCTTTGCAAGAGATGCTGCTTTCACATCCAGCTCCCAGTCACACCAACACATCCCCGTCGCTCACGTTGTGGGGTATCTTTGCTTCCTCTGAGGTTCAGAAGATTGCCCGCAAGGCATTCGGCCACTTGAACGGTTCCCCTCTGTTCCATCTCTGCTTGTTGCTTCTTTCATTCCCCTTTTCCTTCTCTTTTAAGGTGAATCTTTCTGATTGCTACAATGTGATCGTGTTCCTGGCCCCCAGCGTGGTAAGTCAGTCCCTTGCACCCTGACTTGTTCTGAGTGAGCTCGAGAGAGTTTTCTTAGAAAAGAGAGATAATCTGGGACAGTGGCAAAGACTCTTAAAAAAATAAGGCCAAGCGGGCATCGCTGCAAGTAAGCGGTTTGGTGCTCAGCACCACTCGAATTTATAGAATCATTGAGGTTGCAAAAGACCCTTAAGATCATCAAGTCCAACTGTTAACCTAGCACTGCCAAGTCCACCACTAGACCATGTCCCTAAGCGCCATGTCTACATGTCTTTTAAATCCCTGTAGGGGTGGTGACTCAACCACTTCCCTGGGCAGCCTGTTCTAATGCTTTACAGCCCTTTCAGTGAAGAAATTTTTCTTAATATCCAATCTAAACCCTCTCTGGCACAACTTGAGGCTGTTTCCTCTCGTCCTATCACTTGTTACTTGGTTCTAGTCCCAACCATACACGGGGTAGTACCAGCCCTACATTTTGGAAGGGTCTTTGGTTGATGCTGCCTGCTCGGGACCCATCAGCCATGCCGAGAAGCTGCCCTGCGGTCCTTGGTGGCACTGCCACTACATGACTGTTTCCTAAGGCCACCTGGCCGTGGCTGTCTCTCTCTCCCCAGAAACCTCCCCTAGCCACCAAGCTCCTTGCAGAACTCCCCGACGAAGCCCGGGTGGTGGCTGGACGCTTCCCCTTCCCCTCCTGGACTCCCGCCAGCACCCTTGGGCAGGGGCTGGAGCAAGTCTGGGCCTATGACATGAAGGAGGTGCGGCGAGCAGCACAGAGCCGTGCAGAGGGAAGCCCAGTCTAACAGCAGCCTCGTTAAGCCTGGCATTAAGGGTCAGCAGCAGTAGGGGTCAGAGCCTCTCCAGCCCTTGGGCTCAGCTCAGGACAGCAGTGAGAGGGCTGCTTGGCCGGGCTTCTTCCCAGGGACTTGCAGGGTGGCAGTCCCTCTGTTTTCCAAAGAGTGGGCAGTCTGGGGGAAGCAAGGGAGGGGAAAATCAGACCTAGAAGTCCTGGAATTACCACAGGATTTAAGGGCTAAACCTCCAGTGCCTCTTTCTGTACGTTTGCTACTTTATTTCTAGTTAATTTTTCAAAATAAACATTTGGTCCATTCTTCACTTGAGACTACTGCTTTGCCTTTGAGCTGCAGGGTGCTCCTGGACCCAGAGCAGCTGCTGCTCCCAGCCTCAGGCTTTGCTCTGCCGTCCCTTTGAAGGCAGCTCATGAGGGAGTTTGTCCAGCTCACCTGCTGAAGGATCAGTTTGGCCCTGCTCACCTTATATAACATTCCCTTTCCCACTCAAACACAGAGAAAAAAAAGGGTTTCCCACCATAAAAGAGCAGCTCATCCTCTTTGACTAACTTCTTAGACCAAAGTCTAGCTTGAACCAGCCCTGGCCCTATCTCTTAGAAGCTGAGAGGGGAACAAAGGCAGGAGCAGAGTTAGCCCTTGGACTCCGGTCTAGGTCTCACACAGGAGAAATGTTATCGCAGGAACGGGAACCTGTCCCTGCAGCCTCACAGTAAAAAGCTGCCTGGGAACCTGACCCCATGTCCCGAGGCGTGATGTGCTCAGGGAACAGCAGAATTCCTACAGCTGAGGGGTCAGAGGATAGACGAGACGCAGTTGTCTTGTCTCATTTTAGTACTGTGAATTTGAGACCGAGAACACCCATGTGGTTTCCCTTGCTGTGCCTCCCAGCTCTCAGCCAGGGAAGGATACTTGCTCCAGCCAGTCCACACAACAGAAAGCTCCTTCCTCTTAAATCCTGCTCTTTCCTACAATCGTACTGCTCCTCAGAGCCATGGTGGAGAGCTATGGTTTGTGGCTGACAGTCCTTCTGGCTCTGGGCAGCGAGTGAATATCGGCCGCCCCAGCACTGAGCGTGCGTGGTACCTCGCTGCCAGCAAGCTTCGTCAGCCGGAGGATCTCCTGCTTGTACCTGCAATGGGGAAGCAGCACTGTCATTGCCCATGTAGTCACAATCCTGAGCGATCCATTTAAACGTACACTGTGCCTTGTGTTTGCTGTGTGCTAAGGACATGCAGTGTCAGTTAATGCAGAGCAGCCAGCCCAGGCATTGAGCCACCCTGGGAACTGAGCTCCAGTAGGTAGAAAACCACAGCCTTTTCCCAAGCAAGAGGTGTTTGTTGGCTCTGCCAGGTAACAGTACCAGCAACAAGCCTGCGAGTCTGACCCGAGTTCACAGCTGAGCTGGCTGGGGAGTTATGGCAGGCACAGTTGGACCATTGCTCTGACAGACGTGCCCTGCTTGTTCTCGCCCTTCCTTGCCTGAGCAGCTGTTCTCCCTGCTTTGGGGCATGATGAATCAGGGAGAGAGGACCGTAGATCAGGGGCTGCTGGAAGGCTTTAGATTTTAGGCAACTGCTCTCTTAGCTTCCTCCAAAGGATGGGTGAGCACACAGGGAAGGAGATGTGTGGCTGGGCAGGCCAGACACTGTCCCCCTGCCCTGCAGAATAAGGGATGGTGGCAGCTGCCTGCACAGCTGGATGTGCTGCAGGACATCAGCCATGCCGGCAGCACTGTGGGAAGGCAGCGGTGAGGTCAGGTGCTGACAGCATGGCGGGCATGGCGATGTCACCGGCAATTAGCCTGGGAGATAAACTTGGAGCACAAAGCAGAGAACACGTGGAGGGGCATCCTACCATCTCACCTTGCAAGATGCTTATCTATGTATTCCTGCAGCTCCGACACCTGCTCTTCTGCCACGATTGCCCGAGTCAGCAGCTGGCTTCTCTCATGCTCCAAATCCTTCTGGAGGGGCAAAGAAACATGGAGAAAACAGTGAGATCTGTGAGATGGGAGTGAGCTCACCCCTGAGATGCACAGCAAGAGCCAGGAGCAGGACCTGCTCCCAGTGCAGTGCTCCAGCCTCTAAGCCACAGCATCTCCCTTCTTTTGGCCATAAAGATACACACAATTTAGGTGTTTGGCTTTACATGACCAGAGAACAGTGAAGCACTTCTTAGGTCGCTGCAGACAGAGGAAGGCACAACATGGAAGCAGGCTGGTAGCACATCTATAGCCTTGTCTACCACAGAAAACCCAACCTCTGCTTGGTTTCCAAAGCCCTTTTCCCTGCATGTGGCAGTCAGCGTGGCAGGGATCCCAGCACCAACCCTTCTCACTGCTGCCATCACTGCTGGACAGCAAACCCCACCTCAGCCAAGCCCGTTCTCAGTGAGCATCGTCATGGTTTCGTGGGAGCTGTAGGGCAGCATTGCAAATGGAGAGAGCTCTCCTTCCTGCTCTGGGCCACCCCATGGCCAAGTGCAGTGCAAATGTCCTTGCACCCAGACCAGGATGCTGATTCAGATTCAGACTAGACTTGAACCAGGTCAAATACAGACCCAATTTGTTATACAGATGCCTAGATGCTTGTGCTGAAACATGGGAGGGAGCAATATAGTCCAGCAATGAGCAGCCATAAGGGCTGCTCTCCTCCTTTTGGTAGCAGGGACAGTACAGCCTTGATACAGCACCAGCCAGGGACCTGCTAGTGTCACTTGGGAGGCTGAGGCCAAAGCTACAGCAAGGCTGCATGGAAAGCTTCCCTGCTCTAGCCTGGAGCAGCACACTGACCCCAGGGCAGCAGCCGGCTGGGGCAGCACATCTTTGACATGTGGGTAAGGGATAAGCTTTTATTCAGATGGGCTGTTCCAGAGCTTTACCTGGGTGGTGTGTGCAAACTCCCGGAGCTGCTTCCTGACCTCTGCCCAGCCCTCCTCATCCAGCTGCCTTGGAGAGAAAAGCAGATTCTCATTGTGCCCAAATGTTCAAATCCAGCCCATCTGCAGGTCACCCAGCTCTGTTCAGGGGCTGCACACAACTCGTGCCCATCCAACCATAAATGTCAGCGCTCTGAACCTTTTCTCTTCCAATGGCCCAGAATTTTTCAGGGCATAGGGCACCATCCCTGTGCCCAGGCATGAGAGTCACAAGCCCTTCTGCCAACCTGGGATTCCCCACTGCGACGTCTGGGTTTGTTCCAAGTTCACATCAACACTTATACATCAGAGGACTCCGTGCAGAAAGAGTCCTTAACCTGACACTGCAGGACTGAATGTGATGGAAATAGAGAGTGATCAATGCCAAACGCTGGTGCTTTTCATGTTGTGGAGCACAAACCCGCCCATTCTGGTCACCGAGCGCGATAGGTGAGCTGTCTGTGCAGCCCAGCCGTGGGAAAGTTCTTCCTATTCTGTGCCAGTCTGAATAAGCAAAATACAGGTCACATCTGATGCTTGGGGAATTTGGGTTGTATGAAGGGAGGAATGCATTGTGCTCAAGAGCGGCTCTGCTGCGACTGCCAGAGTTCCCTCTGGTGGCTGCAGCCTCCCAGACCAGGCACATGGGAAATCATGGCTAAGATTTCATGAGAGCAGAAGCAAAGGGAACAATAAACAGGGAAGCCACACAGTTGATAAAGATGAGAAGCAGCAGGAATTATAGCTGAAGTGCTGCGGTAACACCGGGCTTCGTGTCCCTAGCTAGAGGAACAAGGTAACAGCATGGATAAATCCATCAGCACACAGAAAACAAGTATTTGAAGTGTGTAGATTCTCTTGGCAGCTAAAAAAAACCCCATAACAACAACATGCATCACTAAAATTCAGGTTCTGTTTTTTCCGTGTCTTGCTCCTCTGGTGAGTCTGCCAAAATTAATGCATCTGTTCAAGGACTAGTACTACTTTTCAGTGTAGAAAACATGGCAGAGCCTGGTTAAGGCTCAAGCTTTTCTCTGAGACACTCCTCCAGAGCCCAGTGGCTCAGGCACTGGCCAACTCCTCAGTGCTGGCATCCGGTTAATGAAATGCCTGACATGTTTTCTAGGCTACCACATAAATATAAAAGGCTGAAAAATCCCAGGTCAGATTTCTACTACACTTTGTTCCACCTCTCCACAGTTATAGTTGATAGAGTTTCAATGGAATAACGAAGCAGGAGGAAGAGACCCATCAAAAATGAGCAAATAAAGGGCATATCAAGAAGCCAGGGAAGTATCAGTACAGGGTCACCTAAGGGTTCCAGCCCAGCTTCTGCACTGGGAGGAAGGAGAAACAAGACCATCCCAAACTGGTGGTGTTTCACTTGCCTTTCTCAGGTTGTGATCTACCAAAGCACTCAGGCGTATGCTTAACTTCGTCTTCTAAAGAGATCAGTGGGACTAAAAACATAATTAAATCAAACATGTGCTTAAGAGCTTTCTTGGATCAAGGCCCAAATGACCAACACATTTCACCGCAGGAAACGCTGCACTGAGATGACAGCTGGCTTTTCTTCTCGGATGAGTCCCTATCAGCTCACTTTCTCCCTATTTATTACTGTCTCCAAGTAAAGCAGAAAAGACTCCTCAATCCATACAGCAAGGAAAATTCAGAATTACAAACATCCCAAGAAACAAACAGCACTTACTGCTCAGGAGACAGCGGAAAGGCAGAGGTTTCTTTCAGTCTTTTCTGAAGGCAAAGGAAGAACAGTATGCCTGTTAAGCATTAAACCATTGCAATCTCACCATAGACGCTGCCAGTTTGAAGTGGCACAACATATCCTAGCACTCTAACAGCCACCAGTGCCCTGGCAAGGAAGTGATGTCCAGTACAATCTTAAGGTTTAGGTCTCCTATCCTCTGAATTTTTAAATAAATGCATCTCGCACAAATCAAGAGACACGTCTCTGCCCAGGCAGAACCAGTGGGAGGACATGGAGCTGACTGGAGTGTTTCTGACTGCGATCTCCTGCTCAGTTAGCTATTCACACTGAGGCAAAGGCATTCGAGAACGGAAAGCCCCATTCTATCCTCCCTTACTCACCTCTTCTTTTAGCAGTGAGTGAGTGTGCAGTTCTCCCATAACATCTGCTACTCCTCAGACCTCCCAGAGCTCAGCAACCCCAATCTATGGGGCTGCCCAGCCTCCTGGATTTAACTGTAACTCACCCCTATGCAGCCGGGTTGAAGCAACGAGGGGACTACTTGGACAACCTGCCTCTTCCCAAAATGCGAAAGCAAGCAAGCAGTACCCCTGCCTGTGCCACAGGCACAGGAAACCCTCAGGGAATGCCCAAGGAAGGGGCTGAATCTATCGCTTGTGGGACTCTCCCCACCACCTCCATTTCACCGCCGCAGAAAGCCACCAGCCCAGCCACCACCTTCTGCAGTTCATGTAGCTGCATCTCCAGTTTTGCTTTATCTTCCCGCAGCCGGTTTAGCTCCCGGGTTGTGTTTGTCAGCAGCTCTGGGTCTGTGATGGAAAAGTGGAGCTCGGCAGGGCCACAATCCATAGCACTGCTGCCCAAGGACCGGATCTGTTCTCGCTGGAGCCTGTAACATGTCAGAGGGGTTAGTCCCTGGTAGTTTTGGTTAGGTAACAACACTGACCATTTCTGCTGCTGGTGGAGGTACCATTCGCTCGGGACCTGCTGGCTTCTGGCCACTGAGAGCTAGTCCACCTGCAAAGGATAAGCGGGAGAGCCCAGCAGTATGCGCAATATTCCTGGGAGTGTTTCTGAGGGGAGCTTGTCCTAGAGCTATTTGTGGCTTTTATACCACAAGAATTTCTGCTGCTTCCCACAGCCCAAGCTGCTGAGAGAGCTGTGGAGCAGAGCTGAGAGCACTGCAGGGACAGGCTGGGAGGCAGGAGTTATTTGTGGTACCTCTGCATTTCCACACCATCCAACGTTGAATCAATCTCTCACCCTAAATTTTACACAGGAGAAACATAAGTGCAAAGCAGCTCCAGGGTGCCAGGAGCACCCTGAGGTGCAGCTGGAGACATGTTGCTCCTGGCTTGTCAAGAGCAGGGAGATAAACATGCACTCCAGATCCTCTGCTCCACCTAGAAGCCCTGTTTGGCTCCCTCTCGGACAGAGGTCTGGGTGCTACGGGCCACTTCCACTCGGTCCCTAGCAATAAGCTGGAGAGACAGAGGTAGCCCAGACCCTGGCTTAGCCCTACCCGTAAGCGATCAGCAGGTTCTCATGCTTCTTGACCAAGTTTTTCATGCGTTTCTTGTAGCCACGTGCTGCTCTAGCTAGCTGCTCTTCCCGAGACTTGTAGGAAGCCCTGATGTCCTTCAGCATGCTGTCCACAAAGCGTTTCATAGGAGCACGATCAGCTGGGGCTTTGCTAGGCCCCATTACGTTGCTGGATTTGCTGTCCATGTAGTCCTTTAAATATACAGAGAAAGAAATCGAGGTGGTCAAGTTGTTCCCTAAGGTTTGTAGCCCATTTCCCATAGAGAAGGGCCAGGCACATTTGTGCTAACAGCATGGAGAGTAAGGCATATCTTCTATTTTCAAAGAGCAGGAAAGACTAATTAATTTCCACCATGGCCCTTCAAGACAGAGAAGGCATCTGTACTGTATCAGTGACCCAACTAGGGAAACACGAGTTGGCATCAGGAGTTACCATTTCTAGTCCTGTATTCTTTCCACTGTGTCCTGCTCTTTCTGCTAGCTAGGAGATGTTTCAACATTGCTCTGTTAGAAATTAGACTATTCTTAATAGTAAAAATTCCTTTGCTTAGTCTCCTGATCCATCACCACACCGTGTTCTTTGGTACCAGCCTTCGCCCAGCACAGAAGCTCTTGCTTACTGCTACCTAGGGGGTCAGAAAGAAATTTCTTCCCAGTCTCACTGCTCAATATAATCAGATATCCATGCCTGAACCTGCCTGAAACACCTGCCTTGTGCTGAGTCCTCACCATGCTCTCTGAGCCCTACTTTACATCAAAGGTGCTTGTTCTCAGAGCGGGTCCCAGGCACTGGTGTTACACAGCTCCGTAGCCGACCACGGAGGCTGGCAGAGCTCCCTGTGGGGGCAGTAGCAGAGTCACCATGGACACAGCGACAAAGCCAGAAGTGGCATCGCCTGGCCTGCCCAGGGAAGTCGTCAGGGCAATGGAGATTAGAAGCCAACTGGAAGGCAGCCATAGTAAATAGGAGAATCTTTCAATCCAAGTAATTTGACCAAGAAAACTCCCAGCAGGAACTCACAGACCATTTTGTGTGGCCATACAGGAAATCTGGGAGAGGAGGGGGGCTGGCATCTCCTCCCCCAGGCCAAGCCAAGGGCACAGAGCCCCCTTCCAGCTGCAAGCAGGGCTCCCCAAGCCCCATTGCCTGCTCTGCTCCACAGCCCAGCGAGGAAGTGAAACAGCAGCAAAAAGTAGGCAGCCAGCATGGAGAGACCTCCCCAGGCCTGAAAAGACCCTGGGGCTGGGGGGTACCCACCGCCACATCCTTGATATACTGTGTGAGCCGGGAGCGGTATTCCTCATTCAGCTCCTTCAGCCGGAGCTGCAGCAGGGAGTTCTCTGCCTCCACCTCTTGGAGCTGGCTCTGGGACGTGAGCAGCACCTAGGCACAGCAAACACGCTCATTGCTGCCCTTGTCCTCCAGCCAAGCAAGGGGCACTAAGAAGCTCCAGAAGAGATGGGGGACTTAATTTCCAGATATTCAGCTTCACTAGAGGTGGGAAGGTCCTGTGTTTTCACAGGAGCCCAGTAGAAATGTTTATAGTCTTTATTCCCCTGCTACCTTCTGTCATTTGCAATCCGCCCCGCCAGTGATTTCACCAACTCTTTCTAAATATCAGTGAACAAAATTCCTCCCACCACCTGTGGCAAGCAGCACCTTCCACCATGTGCATCCCTAGAGAAGGAAACTGCGCAGGGAGGAGCACCTTGGTATGACAAACTCCCTGGAGAGGGAGACGTGTCAGAGTACCTCAATACAAGACATCCACCCCCTGCTAGCTTCAGGAGAAGCACATGGCACCCAGGAGGAGTGGATGAGCAGGGGCAGTCCTGGAGCCTGGGTCTGAGGGCTGGAAGGAAGCCTGCCCTTACCGCTGACTGCTCCGCCAGCTTGTGCTGGGTGTCTCCAATTGCTCCCTTTGCCTCCTGCAGCTCCTTCCCCATTGCGATCCTGGGCACACAGGAAGAAGGTGTGTTTATTTTAAACCCCCAAACTTCTCTGTAGGTCCAATACAGCCAGCTTTGAGAAGGAAATCACTACCAGATGACAGAAATCTCTCTGCAGCTGCTAGTCCCCAGATGCATGCCAGCCAGCAGCCACAGAGCTCTCACAACGAAAAGTGAATGTCCTCCCCAGTCAGAGGATCTAGTTCTGCAGCGTCCCTGCTGTGGCAGCCTTTGCCAGGACACCGAGCCCAGCCCAGCTTGTCGGTGGAAGAACCACTGTGGGGTTAAGGGCTACGGCTGGATTAATCTCTGGGCTGTCACACATTTGCTGTGTGTGTCACAGAAGGTGGATTTTCAAAGGTGCATAGGCCAGTTGGGTGCCTAAACACCACTGACTTTTAAGCAGACAGTTAATCCTCTTAAGAGCCTTGAAAATATCAGGTTTTGCTTCCGGGCCTCACTTCTTCCAAGGGTGAATCATCATTTCCCCCATGTACCCCACCAAAGGCAGGCTGCCTCCTCTCCTGCTCCCAAGGATCAAATTCAGCTGCAGTGAGCTGCGTAAATGCCCAGCCAAACAGAAGCACGTGCCCTCAAACACTTACACTCTCTCTTCCAGCTTCTGCTGCTGCGAATCATAGGTTTTCTTCAGTTTTTCAAGCTCCACTTTTATGTGAGCCTGGTTTCCAGGCAACTGAGGGACAAACAAAGAGGAAGATGAGACAGGGGCTCAGCTAAGAGAGGGATTTGTGAACAGGGAAGAAGTGAGGAGAGCCTCCAGCTGAGCACAAGTCCAGCTGAGCAGTGACATACTGGGGAAAGGACAGGTTTAACTGGGAGTGACCAGTGCTCTGTGGCACACCAGAAGCAGTGTCTGATCTGGAGACAGGGCACATGGAGGTGCACACATGTCGCTCTCCCAAGGGAAATTCTCATACTCGAATTCCCAGCAGGAGCTGGTGGTGGAGCCCAAGCTGGTTTTGCATGGGCTGCAGATGGGAAGGAGGCAGGAAGCATTTCTGTGCTCTCAGTTTTGGGTGCTTTATCACCCCCATCTTTCTCAAGTATCATCAAGAAGAAAATAACTAAGTGTTCTCTGCACTTCTTGGCTTTTAAACTCCTGCCTCTGTTCACTCAGGGGTACTGACCAAGGGAATCACAGCTGCCCTCTCTCAGCTTTTGCCTGCACAAGATCTGCAGTTATTCTAGTCTCATTTTTCAACTGCACAGCTTAAAAAAATTTTTAAAAATAAATCAAGGCATCAGCTCATCCACAAAATGCAAGTTAGCACCAGGGGGTGCCAGCCAAGATTGGAATAAATTCCCCCTCTGCTTCCCCAAGGATCCAGCAGCAGACCCCCACCACACTCACGTTTCTCTCTAGCTTTTGCTGCTCACATTCAGAGGCAACTGCATCTTCTGGCTGTTTTTTGTAAGAGACAGAAGAAGGTGCCTGTTAGATCCCTGTTCTCCAAGGAGCTGGCAAGAGGGCAGAGAGGTCCTTACCTTCACCTTCCGAGCAGAGAGACGATGCACCATTGCTCTCACTTTTTCCAGCTCAGCAGAGGATTCATTGGCCACGGCGGGGGAGCGGTTGCTCTCTGTGTGGGGAAGGGTGCTCCTGGCATTGGCCAGGTTGAGCAGCTCTTGGCTGAGCTCTTCATTCTTCATGACCTGCCAGGTCAAACAAGAAGGAAAGAGCTTCTGAAATCCTGCCTCTCCAGCTCCACATGCTGTCTGTTCAGCACATACCCACTGCTCTTGGTGCAAGCACAAGGCAGGCACTCACATCCCCTCCTGAAAGCAAGTTTTAGTTTTAGTTCTCTCTCATATGTCCAAAGATATCAGTGATTTTCTAATTCTCATGGAAATGCAGGGTATCATCACCAGGCATCAGGATTATTCACATGTAACCTTACTCCCTCTGCCCATCTCGGTCTTGCATTCAGATACAGATCCTTGTGCCAGCCCAGCCCTGGGCACAGCTCTGCTACCACCTCTCCATCCTGACCTCCAGCCTCCCTCCTCACTCTAACCCTGTACCCTCCACACTACTTCCCAACACTTCAGGCATGTCTTTCCCCATACAATGGCTCTGAACAGTGCTGGACTCCATAATATAAGAGAAGGGCCAAATCTCCATCCATCTAGGCTGACGCCACCCAGCTAATTCCAGTTTTGTTTGAATGCATCCCTCCAACAGCAGCCAGCCCACAGCACCGTGTAGGCAGTGAGATTCAAAGCGATGCTGGTGTGAAGTGACACATTTCTAAAAGATAAAGAGGATCTGAATGAGAAAGGCTCTGTTACAGGTGATCTGGAAGGAACACTGGGGGAATTCATGTCTCACGGGAGGGTTTCTATGTAGATAACAAAGCTTTGATGGGGTTTATGACTGGGGACAAGCTTGAGTAATTGTTACCATGGCAGTGAATTGGGAGGATGGGAGGCAGAGGTCATCTGAGTCATCCGTGGAGAGAATAGCTTATCAAAAGATAGCACAGGGTGGGCTGAGGGAGAGAGGAGAGGAGAAAAGAGGCTGACAAAGAGGTGAGATATACAGCTGTGAAAACTGACAGCTACGCAGAGACAGGCTGCTTGTTCCCCAACCGAAAACGATCCATCTGCAGCTGTCAGCCCTGACAATTTGATCAGAGGGGGTCACACAAGCGCAGAAGTACCAGCTTAGTGAAATAAAGAGGCAGTCCCAGTTTTGCGATGGGCTTCGCTGCCTCCCCTATGCTCCCAGGCCTGGCCTGGCTCCAGGGAAAACCCCGGCATGGAACCAGTTCGCAGCCATTTGGGTTCCCTCTGACAGCCTCACTTTGTGCCGCCGCTGCAGACGGCCTAAGCTGCCGAACAAAAGAGGAGGAGGAAATGGAGAGTCGAGAAAAGGTCAGAGTCTTGAAAAGGAAGAATTTACAGTGAGTTAGAAAACAGGCACAAAGTGCCTAACTGGCATCTTCTGGAAGGCACTTCCCCAGGGACAGTCAAGGCCAGCTCCGCCGCGCTCCTTTGCCTGGGACAGACACAGGGCGATGTGTGAATCCGGCTGTACAATGGGAGCCGCGACAATTCAGAGGCTCTAACTGTTCCCGTACAAGGGACTGTGAATGAGCTCGCCGAGCTGCTTCTGCGCCAAGCAGCCATGACAACATATTGGCAAGGTCACAAGTAGCACTTGTAATTGGGAATGTGTAAATGGTTCATTGTCTCCCCAGAAGAGCGCCAGAGAAGGGGAGGGGGCAGAACCGCAGGCTGCTTTTCCCATTTCCTTTGGGAAAGTCCACACTGGGAAAATAATGAGCAAGAGGCCCATGCCACGACAAGTCCCAGCCTGCCAAGTTGGAGCCTCTTTCGCTTCAGGCAGGGACATTCAGTAGCCGGAGCCAAGAAACTGGGGTAAAACTCTCAGCCTACCGATTACAACCAAGGATTTCACCTTTGGCTTCTGGACCCTGCTCCACCACTTCCTCAGGATATTATCCGGGCACATAACTGAATCCATGTCCTTTGACTCTCTGAAACATTCCAGGATCCATGTGAAAACAGTGTGTTATTACTGCTAACCTACTAAACCCATCATTTAGAGATGTCAGCCACCTGCAAATCCAATTTTTGACAAACATATTGCACCCCCTTGGGGACAAGAAGCAACCAAGATTGCTGAACATTGAGCTATTCCTCCGCAAGCCTGGCAGTACTGTGTCTCAGCAGCGTGCTGACTTGCTGGCAGTCAGCTGCATGCGCTCTGCCTTGTGCTCCAGCAGGACGACAGGGCAGGTTCACACCCCTGCAAGCAGCTGAGCTTGCCTCCTTGTAAGAAATTTCCATTTCTCAGCTTACGGGAGACAAATGATAGCTTCACAAGGGTCACTAACTTACTTATTTGCAATGGGATGATCATGATCTTGTATCCTTGTCTACCAGAGCTCTGCAAACCAATGCTCACCATAAAGACAGACTGGGCACATGCCTGGTCCCAGCCCCACATCTTCCCATCACAGCTCTGCACAGGGCCAGCACGGTAAACCAGGTCATTTGGCTGAACCAGCTAAACTATCTGCTGGGGGAGGGAGGCAGGAGGGTGTCAGTCATTCAACCCAATTCAAAAAGGAGAAGCAGGAGGGGGAGAGGGTGGGAAGAGGGGAAGGTCTATTGAAGTAGCTATTCTTGCCAAAGAAATACACAAATCTGGGTCCAAAAGACTTTAGTTAATAATTGCTAAGCTAACAGTCACCAGGAAATCTACTATATTTTAGGGAACAATCAGAAACTTGCTTACATTCAGTGTTTTTATAAACTTGCCAACCTCAAAAACTTCCAGGCCCCTTCCCGCCATCATACGAAATGAGAGCGACTACAATCAGTTCACGTGCAGCCTGCGCAAGCCATGCAGAAAAAAGGGAAACAAAGCATGCTGGCAGTCAGAGGGACCTGCGACGTGCACTCAGACCAGCCCCGCAGTGACCTCCTCGTTACTGCTAGTGATGGGGATCTGGGATGGCGTGAAAAGAGAAAGACTCTGACAGCAGGGTGCCCAGAAGAGCACATGGGTCAGCGTGGGCTCAGCACTGTCCCTGCTGAGCAGGACAGGTTCTGCAAGCCCTGCTAGAAGGTGACCATGTTACATGAAATCCCTGGGCCCTGAAACAAAATCATGCCCAAGCTACGCTGTCTCACAGCTGACAAACCTTATTGGACTTGAGCTGTGATGTGGATACGCAACCCAAAGCCTACCAAGCTGTCTGTAGATCAGGTAATTGTGAGATGGAGTCGAGAACACCAGAATGAACACTGCAGCCTGTCTCACCTCCTGGTCCAGTTCTTTGCCTAGGGCCAGGTAATTGCTTTTCAAAATGATGTACTCATCTGCCAGCTCCTTCCGACTGGTCTCCAGAGCATGCAGGCGTTCCCGTAAGGCATCTCGCTCCCCAGTGACTTTCTCACTGCAGAGCTCCAGCTCCAGCACACGGTTCTCCAGGGCCAGGATCTGCAGAGGGGAGACAGCAGAATTAGACTGTGGCAGAGACCAGCAGTGATCACAGGGCATTTATTTGGCCAAACAGATTCTGGCACGCTATGACTTAAAGAGAGATGAGCTTCATGCGAGTTTCATGGTATCTGGGGTGTCGAGGGGGAATCCATTGCTCTAGCTAAAGCCAGGAGAATATGCCAGGCAAAGTAAAGATGGATGTGTAACGAACTGCAGTTCTGGATAAAGGTATTGTCAGAGCTGAAACCAGCTACTTCAAACTTTTGGATACCATATTTTTCAGTTCAAAGTTCTCTGTCTCATACTGCTCCTTCATTTTGTTTGTCTCGATCTGGAGATCAACGAGGTCTTTGGAAATCTAGGAGAGAGAAAGGACATTATAAAGGCCATGGACTGATTCTGAGGCCAACATACTGTTTCAACAGGTTGCACTGGGGAATTTGAGCACAACACACACCCCCTAGAAAGAGGCCCCAACATTTCCCACCAGATTTTCCACTCCCCATCAGCTGGCCTCATACGGCTTCACAGCTCAGTTCTCTCCAATTCCCAAAGTATTTGTTTTACCTTCAGTTTTTCCTCTTCACTGAAGATCATTCTGGCCGACAGATCTGTTTTGGAGCCAGCCAGCTTCCCCATTCTCTCCTGCAGGTCTCCGAGAAGGTACGGTCTCTCATTCCTATCCTGCAGCTGCACCTAGAGACACACAACAGCTCTGACAGCTGGTGCCAGCCAGCAGAGCCCACCTCTCCCCCATGCTATTCTCCCACTGCAGTGCTGGTGGAAGAGCACAGCATATCCAGCTTTTCAGAGCTTGAACAGGTTGTAGATGGGATTTTTCAGCTGCCATTTTCCTCCTGCAATTATCATTTCATTTGTACGGTGCTGGTTCCATGACCCCAGAAGGGGCTGCAGACCTTCATACTTTTATTTTCCTTAGCAAGATGCTGCATGTGCTCTGTCAGACTACTTACATTCTCGTTCTCTGCAACACTTCCAGAATTCATGTGCTTGGAGGCCAGGATCTTTGCAAGGTATCAGGCAGGCAGCGACTGAAGAGCAAAGGAAGGATCTAAGGATCTCTACAGCAGCAACTGTTCCCTCGAGGTCCAGCACAAGCGATGTTGCTATCAACTTCGGTTACTAGAGGGTGCGGCATCCACCTTGATTTTAAGGTGGAGCCAATTATTACAGCCACCCCAGGAGCTGTCAGAGGAAAAGAAATAATGCTTGTCAGGAGGTTTCCGTATTCCCAAGAGAGCACACAGCAGATACTGAAACAAGCTTAGCACACACCACAGTGAAGCAATATTGCCAGCTAGAAGGTACCACTGCGTTTATATTATGGACTGTTCCCAAAACCCAGCTGTAGGGATGGCCTCCATCTCTATTGCAGGGATATTTAGAGAAGTTAAGATCTGATTAACCCATTAATTAATCCATTAATCCAACCATCTGCTCCAAGACTGTCCAGTAGCATCTAACATCATCTTGCTTCCAGGAAATTTTCTCTTGGTCTCTACAGTCCTGGTATATCCTGTGTCAATGAGCCATCCAAAGGGTACCAGGATCTTTGAGCTCTGACCAAGCTACAGCTGGTGACAGGAAAGACCTTCCCCAATTTATCACTTGGCATTAGAGACATTATGTGGAAAAATAGAAGCTTCAAAGGAAAGCATGCACTGAAGCAAACTCTGATTAGCCCAGACAGTGCTAAATCTGGATTGTGCTGGTCTACACACTGCCACTGACTCCAAACTGTGACCACCCAGGCCCAAACAAGACAACTCCCAAGTGTGTGCAAAGCTAAAAGTACTTAAACAGAGTCTCTGACGGAAAAGCAAGGGTAATGGAGAGTGCAAGACATGGTGGATAATGCTGGAAGCCCTTGGTGAACAGCAGCCATGGGGTAAAATGAATCCCGGTTCTTAATCTCCTCATTTGGGGCTTATTATCACTGCTATTTCTGTAGAGTGGGTGAGTTTAGGTAAGAACTTGTCTCTTACAGAAGAAAAGCTTTAACAATATAACGTTCAAAAAGACCATAGCTCTGAAAAACTCCTTAGTATCTGTCAAAGCTAAGAGGATGAAAGAAGGAGAGGGGCCATCCTATTAGAAGCTCCATGCTAAGCAGAATTTACCAGCTCCTCACCTGGTCCTGGCTCCTGGAGAAGATCCCTTAGCCTCTTGATGTGGATTTCACCAATGGTCATGGAAGTGAGACCCAGGGGATGAGCTCTTTTGGGGCTCAGGGGAAGGAGAAGCTAATGCAACATGCAATTATGTCTTATTTTTCTGCAAAAGAACTTAACAGACTTGAAGTAATTTTATTAAGATAACGAAAGTGCTGATGAGAATTCACAGTCTCTTCACACCCACTGCTGAGCAGAAAGCCAAATTCACACACCGCCCACAGCGCCGGGGTGGGGGTGTGGGCTTGGAAGTCTACAGCAGGTGCTCCAGCACACGAAGAAGCTGAGCTGCAGCTCTGCTCCCCAGGCGCATGCTGTCTCCCACTGGGCCTCAGTCCCGCATGGGCCCCCCTGGACACAGGCACTCCCAGCCCATGCCGGTCCAGGGATGTGTGCAGGCTGGCTCACGCCGCTGCCCCAGACAGCTACGGCCCCGGCAGTGGCGCGCACAGACCCCGAGATGCCCGATTCAGGAGGGCAAACAGCCCATCCCATCATGCTGGTAAAGCCGGCTGCTCCCTGAGCCACGGGGGTGCCCATTTACCTGGCAGATGGCAATATAAGAGTAATTAACATGCACATACACAGTATCATTTATGGTCCTGCAGCGCCTGGGAGACCCAGGCAAAACCACCTTTGTGGCAGGTGCTGTACGAGCACCAGAAACGACAGTGATCTCTTTTCCTGTGGTTTGGAAATATGAAGCAAATATTGTCCTGGCCGACACTACAAATAGCAAAATCGGGCAGAGGAATCAAGTTTTAGTGTGTCATTGTAGCCCAAAATCTCCATCACCGCTCCAGAGCAAAACCAAACAAAAAGTGTATGTTCTGTTAACCCCACTAAGAGCTGAAATGCCAACTCTGTGCTGAGTTTTTCTTTCACTCTTCTTGTCAAGGACACTTTTAACACAGCTGACGTGGTGGCTGGACTGCCAGCGAGCTCTGACGTACAAAACTCTCACCCGGGATGCAGGTCTAAGATGTGAAAACCCTCCACAAATCCACAGCAGCTCAAGAGGAAACTGGTTGAAGATTTCAAGCACAAAGCCCACCAGACCGATGCCTGCTGTTTATTTTCACCTCTCCTCCAGCACCAGCCAGACTTGCCAGCCTTTGGCAGAGACGCCCACCTCACGCTGCCAGGGCCCTGGCCCTCAAGGTGAGCCCGGAGCGGAGGGAAGAGCCGCCCGCCTTCACGCCTTCTGGGGAGGCTTCGGCAGGGCTCAGCCCAGCGTTAACGCAGCGACTGGCTCCATCTGGCTTCCAGCACCTGCAAAGCGACTTTGCATCCGCTCCTGGATCTAGCCGACACCCCCTGGGCGGCCAGCGGAGCACCCCGGTGTGCCCACACGCCCGGGGAGCCTGCCGGTGCGGAGGCCGCAGCGGGTGCGGGGAGCTGCCACGGGCCGAGGCCTGCGCTGCCCCTCCTGGGGCGACGCCTCTGCGGTAAAGCCCGGCCGCCGGGGCAGCGAAGGGGCCGGAACGGCGAGGCTTCCCCCCGCACCGCTGCGAAGAAGGCGGCCGGTGCCCCGGGCCGGGCCTAGTCAAAGTACCGCCATGTCCCGTTTCCAGGGCAACGGGCTCGGGCGCTTCCGGGGTAGAGCGGTGGGTCGGCAGCGCCCCCCGGCGGCGGGAGGCCGCGCGGTGCCCGGTGGTGGGATCCCGGGGGGGAGTTGGGCTGGTCCGGCCCCGTCCAGGGCCTTGAGCCCCCCCAGGGATGGGGCATCCGCAGCTCCTCTGGGTAACCCCCTCCAGGCTCTCACCGCAACACATTTCTTCCTCAGAGCCAAGCTAAATCTGCCCTCTGCCGGTTTAAAACCGTCGCCCCTTCTGCTGTCACTACAGGTCCTGGTGAAAAGCCTCTCTCCGCCGTTCTTCTGAGCCCCCTTATAAGTTGACAGGCTGCAGAAGGTCTTCTCCAGGCTGAACAACCCCACCTTTCCCAGCTTTTCTCCACAGGAGAGGTTCTTCCAGCCCCCTGGCCATTTCCGTGGTCCACTCTGGACCCGCTCTGAACAGGTCCAGCTCTGCCTTGTGCTGGGACCCCAGAGCTGGATGTGTGCTCCAGGGGGGGTCTCACAAGAGTTGAGGGGAAGAATCACCTCCCTTGACCTGCCAGCCATGCTGCTTGTGATGCAGCCCAGGAGACGATGGGTTTGCTGGGCTGCGAGTGGCCATTGCCGCTCATGCCAGCTCATGTCACCCATTTGTCACCCTCCGGCATCTCCAGGTGCTTCCCTGCAGGGCTGAGAAGGAGGGCTGGGACGGGGCAGGCAGGGAGAGCCTGGCAGCAGGCAGTGGGGGTGGTCCTGGCCGTCCAACCTCAGGCAGGAGGAAGACATGCGGCCCCTCGGCCATGCTCCTGCCCCATCCCACCGGCCGGGTACCCTGAGGACCAGGCTGCAACCTCCATTGCCCATCACTGGGACAGGCTCTCCCGCCTTTCCCTGTCCCTGTGCGCCTCTGACCTCCTGCTCCCAGGGACTCCCCTTTTCCCCCAAAACTCAGGGTTTGGGAAATTTCCCATCTGTGCCTCCAGCAATGGCCCTGGCCACCCTGAGTCATGGCACAGGGACGTCCTCACCTCCCCCAGTCCAACCAGCCCGGCCAGTCTGGTGCTAGTGACACAGTTTCACGGGGCCACATGGGCCACCAGCATGATAATTAGCATCCCCAAGGGCCACCAGCACATCAGCCGCATTTCCCAACTCCCTGCACGAGCCTGCTGCAGATGTGGCAGGGCATGACCTGACACTCAGAGATGCCAACGGAGACCTTTGCCAGCAGCTGCCAAAACCTTTTGCCACCACTACCAGGTCCCCATCTCCAGTAACGTGGGACTTTTTGAGTGAAAAAATGATGCAGCACAATAGGTGGGGACCAGGAGGACCAGAAACATGGGCAGCCAGTGAGCACCAGGCAAAGCCGGACTCTGCTGGGAGGGTGTCTCCAGGAGGGAGCTTGGTCCCTGCCGGTGTCCCCAAGAGAGTGACACAAGCTCTGTGATGCTGGTGTCCCATGTCCCGGCTCTCTTGGGCAGCAGCATCAGGGCTCACACATTTTTGGTTCGGGATGAGGAGCAGCAGCACCGGTTGCCCTGGCAACGCGAGATGCTCTTCTCCAGACGGGGACAATATTTGGCAAGATTTGCTAAAAATACTTCCTAACTCAGCTGTGACACCACCACCCATGTTGCATCCTTGCTGCCCCCAGGGCTCAAGCTGGGTTGGTGCTGTCCCTGCTGGTACCTAGAGCTGGCCCTGGACCACTCGCCTGGGGTCGGTGGGGATGGACCGGGGAGCTCCCCATGTCCCACCAGCCTCCCCAGTTCTGGCAGACCTGGCAGGGCCACCAGTACCAGTCACTCCTGGGCTCAGCCAGCCCATGCGGTTGGGGACAGAACAGGAGCCAGGGACAGCTGGTGGCATTTACCCCCAAGAACGGATGGGGGGAGCTCCCTGAGGAGGGACCTGCAGGCATGGGAGGGCTGCTGGGGAAGGTAATGATTCCTTAGAGTTTAAATAGGTTTAAAAGCTATTTTTTTTTATGATTTTGCTGCTTGTCCTAATACCATTACAGCCTTCTCCATGGCAACCAGGTGGGGCAGCTCAGACTTTGGTCCTGGCCGGGGAGATTAGCTGCCAGAGCTGAAATGATGGGGGGGGTCAGCTGGGGAGGTTCACGCTGGCCGGGGCTGCAGTGGGAGAAGAACATCCATAGTGAGGACCCAAAATGAGGTCCCCACAGCAGCCACGGTACACCGGGCAGGCGCAAGGTCCCAGTGAGCAGGGCAGGCTCACAGTGATGCTGGAGGGACCAACTGTGCCGCAGGGTCCGAGCATCTCCTGCCGCAGGCAGTGGGACATGTCTAGAGGAGATACCCTCAAGGAGCTTTAAAGGTGGAGCTGGGTCTAGCTCCTCCCTGCACTGCAACCGTGTTGGGAAGGGATTTGCTTATTTACCCTCTTTATTTTCCCTTCACAGCTCGTTTGATATTTTCCCTGAAAGAAGGCTGTTGGAGGCAGGGATAAACCCACTCCCAGCCACAGGTAGGGCTCGTTTAAACTTCCCAAAGAGGTTTTGTGGGTTTTGGCTGCCTGGCCTGTGCTGGTTCAGCTCTTTTTAGCTTCCAGATTGATTACATGTTGTGTCAATATGTGCTTAGTGCCTATTAGTGGGTGCATGTATCTCCATCTCTCATTTCTCCCTTCTGATCTATAATTTCCCAGAAGAGAGTATTAAAATAGAGGGGGAGGAGAGAGCCACTCGGGGCCAAAAAGCAAGGGACAAAACAGTGCTTGTGGGAAAGTTCGGCTGCAAGGCTGGAGCCTGGCTGTCTCTCTCCAACACCTTTTCCCATGGGCACAGTCCTGCTTTGGCCAGCGAGAAGGTTGCTTAAAACTGCCTAAGTGGTGAAGAACTGAGATGTGCCTTGTGGAACTGGAGGAGATGTCAGGCTCCCATGGGGATGGGTAAGGTGGGAGCATGGTGGGGACACCCATGGCATGGAACTGGTGGTGGAGAGCATCCCTGCACCATCTCCACCTTGGCGACTGGCACAGGGGGAACCAGGGCTGGGAAGAGCTTCAGCACTGGTGGGAGAGGCCTGTTCCCAGAGGCATGGATGTGAACAGCACCAGCCCCATCCTGGTGCATCTTCAAGGAGGAACAGGGCTACCAGGAGGTCAGGAAGGATTGGCCATGGCTTTTCCAGCTGGCAGCCACTGGCCCACAGGGCTAACTCTCACTGGGGCAGAAGTGGCTTTTTTTTTTTTCCCTCTTTCCTGGAAACTGGTAAAAGATTCTGTAGAAGCTGTTTTGGACACCAGTGGGGAAATGACCTGGGACACAGAACGAGGTCACCAGCCTCCCCAGGGTGGTTTTGATGAGCTGCCAGGCAGAGAGCACGATATGCCAGCCCCAGAGCATCATCCACCACTATCCCACTGCACATGGGGCTGGCAAAGGAGCCGAGAGACCCTCATAGCTGTCACCTTGCAAGTGGGACACACGCTTTGCTCTCTGCTTCCCGGTGGCACAAAAGTGCTGAGCCGAGTGGCACGCAGTGCTCCCAGCACTGTCTCCACCCACAAGGCAAGATATACCTGCAGAAGGGGTCTGTGGGTTCAGCCCTGAGGCTTTTACTGTCACACAGAGAAGAGCTCTGTCCCATTTTTCAACTCATCTCCCACACGTATCACCATAAAACCTCAGGCATTCCAGCCCATCTCCCCATAAGGGTAATCCCCACACCTCTAAGACCCTGTGCTATGTGGATGCTGCAAGCCCCAGCATGTGTTTTTGGGGTCCCAATGCAGCGTGAGAACCTGCTGCCAGGGCTCAGCCCAGGGCAGCCCTGGCAGGGCAGGGCAGGCACCCAGGGAAGGCTCAGTGCTGCTGCTCAGGGATCTCCAGGAGCCCAGGGCACAGCTGTGGGGCATCCTGCAAGGCTGCTCCATCCAGCCCTCCATGCTCACTGCCCACACAAATCCCATCTCCAGCAGGACCGCCCTCCCCAGCAGCCCCCCCCCCCCTCCCATAGCCTGTCCTCCTGGGCATCCCCCTTCATCTCCCCCTCCCCAAGCTGCCATAAAAGCAGTTACAGACCAGAGGAGAGAAGCAAGGAGCCTGTCCCAGGTGACGCTCACCCCGGCCACACTGTCCCTGGGGCTCAGCCCACCTCCTGTCCCAGCAGCGGTGGGGTTAAGCCTGGCTGGGCAGGCGGCTGGACAGGCGTCAAGGTGGTTGCTCCATCCATCCCTGCGCAGTCAGTGGGGCTGGACAGCAGAGAGGGAGCACTGCCCTACCCGCCACCATGAGCACAGGCAAAGGTAAGGCAGGGTAACCTGCCCACTCACCCAGCGCGGGAGGGACAGGCAGGGCAGGGGGTTGGAAGGGGAGACGCTAAAACTCTGCTGGGGCTTTGTACTCAAGTCACCCTTAGCTTTTCTCCCCCCTCCACTGCTAACAAGACATTTTGGGAGCCCCCATGCTGCCTGGGGTGCTTGCAGGCACTGTTAGGCAGAGCCCAAACACGGATGGGGGTTGCAGGGATGGGCAGGGGCCGCAGCACCGAGACCCCTCAGCTGCAAGGAAGAGCAAGTTAATGTGGGGAGGGCTCGGGAGGGAGGAGGAGAGGAGACTGGGGGCCTTTCTCCATGAAAGGGAGAAGCTGCTGCTGCAAAGGCAAGAGAAATTTTGGGGGTCCATGCACCTGAGGGGTCTGAGCTGTGGCAGGATCGGGGGGCGATCCTGCACCCTCTCCCAAGGGCAGATCCAGCCTCCAAAACCTCCTGCAGCTGCCCAGGGTGCGCAATGGGCTGGGACTGACCCCTCTACCCCCCGCCCCCAGCAGTGCAGGCACGCAGCTAGGGTGTCCCAGGGGGGTCCCCTAGAGCAGCCATGGCCCCACACTGACAGTGTCCCCTTTCCTCCACGCCGCACAACAGGCGTCACTCTCCTGCTCCCCCTGGCCCTGCTGCTGGCCACCGCCTCCCAGCCCCCCGGGGGGGACACCCCAAAGGACCAGGGGGACACAGACCCCCCACGCTGCCCCAGCCCTTGTGCCTGCAGCTTGGACGACTACAGCGAGGAGCTCAATGTCTTCTGCAGCACCCGCAACCTGACACGCCTGCCCGAGGACGTGCCCCCCAATGCTAAAGCCCTTTGGCTGGATGGCAATAATTTCACTCTGCTGCCGGCTGCTGCCTTCAGGAACCTCTCGGCCCTGGACTTTCTGGACCTGCAGAGCAGTCAGCTGGCTGCCGTGGAGCAGCACGCCTTCCATGGGCTGCGGAGCCTCTACCATCTCCACCTTGAACGCAACCGCCTGAAGCACTTGGCTCCCCACACCTTCCTGCACACCCAGAACCTCGTCTCCCTCAGCCTCAACAACAACTACTTCAGTAAGGTGGAGGAAGGGTTGTTTGCCGGGCTCTCCAACCTCTGGTATCTGAACCTGGGCTGGAACTCGCTTGTGGTCCTGCCTGACAAGGTCTTCCATGACTTGCCCAACTTGAGGGAGCTGATCTTGGCTGGGAACAAGCTCCCCTACCTCCAGCACCAGCTCTTCTGCAGCCTTACTGAGCTGAAGGAGCTGGACCTGAGTGGGAATGCACTCAAAGGCATCAAGATCAACATCTTTGTCAAGCTGCAGAAGCTACAGAAGCTGTACCTGAATCACAACCAGATCAATGCCATTGCACCCCGTGCTTTCATGGGCATGAAGTCCCTGCGGTGGCTGGATCTCTCCCACAACCGGCTCGTCTCACTGTTCGAGGACACATTTCTGGGCCTCCTGAGCCTGCACGTCCTACGTTTGTCCACCAACTCCATCGCTGGCCTGAGGCCCAGGACTTTCAAAGACCTCCAGTTCCTGGAGGAGCTGCAGCTGGGGCACAACAGGATCCGGAGCCTGGCAGAGAGGACCTTTGATGGGCTGGGCCAGCTAGAAGTCCTCAGCCTCAACAACAACCAGCTACAAGACATCAGGGTTGGGGCATTTCTGGGGCTGTACAACGTGGCAGTGATGCACTTGTCTGCGAACTGCATCAAGGTCCTTCCCGACTATGTCTTCAAGGGGGTCACCAAGTTGCACAGCCTCCACCTGGAGCACAGCTGCCTTGGCAGGATCCGGGCAAACACCTTCTCCAGCCTCTCCAGCCTGCGGCGGCTCTTCTTGCAGCACAATGCCATCTCCATCATCGAAGACCAAAGCTTCAGCGAACTGCATGAGCTCCTGGAGCTCGACCTGAAGCACAACAGGCTGAGCCACCTCTCACCCCAGCTCTTTGTGGGTCTGAGCAACCTGGAGTACCTCTTCCTCTCCTCCAACCAGCTCCTGGAGATCTCCCAGGACACCTTCAGCCCCCTCCAGAGACTCTTCTGGCTCGACCTCTCCCATAACCAGCTGGAAACGTTGGACAACACCATCATCTCCCCCCTGGCCAACCTGCGGTACCTCAGCCTCAGGAATAACTCATTGGAGACCTTCTCGGTAGGCTTCCTGTGCACTTCCTTTGCCCTGGAGCAGCTGTGGCTGGGGGGCAACAACTGGCACTGCAACTGCTCCCTGAAGGGCTTGCGGGACTTCTCCCTGCAGCACCCCGTGGTGGTCCCGCGCTTTGTGCAGTCTGTGGCCGAAGGGGACGATGCCCACGTCCCCATCTACACCTACAATAACCTCACCTGCCTCCATCCCCCAGCCGTGGCAGGCCTGGACCTCCGTGACACCACCGAGGACAGCTTTGCTCACTGCTGAGGTGCACTGGCCCCTCCCAGGGGACACACCGCTTCCCAGTCGTGGACCCTCACCTGCCACCTCCCTGGCCCTGTCTCAGGCTCCCTGGGGCAGCAGCTGGAGCTCTGGCTCTGTGGCCACCCCAGATTAGTCCAGCTTTGCCACCACCTCCAGCTGCCCATACCGGTGCTGCCGCAGCAAGGAGAGCTGTGCCTGGGCGATGCTGGATGGGCACTGGCTCCCCAGGCTTCAAACTGAAATATTTCAGTCCTCTAATATTTAAATAGCAGCCCCCAAGTCAGCACGGTCACTCCCAGCTCCCATCGGCAGCATGAACATCTCTCAGCCTCTGGGACGGGGAAAAGCTGCCCCCCCAGCCTGGAGGTTGGGGGTGCAGCTACAGTGGCAAACGGGGGTTCCCTTGCCCCCCACAGCAAGGGGCATCCCTGCCAGGGCCAGGACTCATCAGTGGGACAAAACAAAGCATCTTCCTGCCACGGAGTAGTCAAGAAATCCTAAAAGCCCCCCGAGCTCCCCAGTAAGTTTAGGGAAGGGGACAGATTACTTGCTTTAATCATTCCTTGCACTAGCAAGTGTAGGCAGGGTACAGAAAGCCACACGTCACTTACCTGATAAATCATAGCAGACAAATAAACCTTTGGAGCTATCGCAACCCATCTTGTAAGTATGTTTTTTCCAAAGCACGTGCTGCACCTGGCCAGGGTTTCTTATCAGAGCCCCTCAGGGCTTGCAGACACAGGACAAGGAGTTCAGACTCCCCAGGGTGCTGGAGGAGTTCACAGCAAGTTTTCTGCAAGCCCCCTGGGTGGGTGGCATGTGCCCAGGGAGGGAGCAAGAGGTGCCCGGCCATTCTGCAGAAGTCAACGGCCCGGTCAGACTCCAGTGCCACTGCCTGGCTCTCCAAATCCCAGATAAGTGACCAAAGGTCAGACAAAATTTTCCTGGAACATTGCACATGGGGGAAACCTGGTCAGGTGTGAGTCCTTGCTGCAGGCGCAGCAGGAGCAGGGACAGATGTTCCTCCTGCTCTCCTCCAAACAATGGCTGCTGGCTGTCATCCAGTTTGGTTAGTGGAAATCTGAGATTTCCCCCTGTCTCCCTGAAACAGCACTGCAAGGGAGAGTCCCAAGCATGGAGAGGGCACACAGGCAGGAGGGGCTCAGAGTCCAGGAGGAAAGGAGATAAGATGCAAGGACACCACCTTCCATTTGCTTCCCCAGCTTAAGTCAAGTCTGCAAGAACAGGGCAGGTCCCATGGAAGCAGCAGCTCTGGGGCCATGGAAGGAGGTCCAAGGGAACAGGACACTGAGAGCAATGAGGCAGGAACCACCCAGGGACATGGAGGAGCCCCACGTGTGGCATGGGTGTGGAGAACAGCTGTGGCAAAGCATCCCACAAAGGACTGCCAGGGCCAGCTTTCAGCAAGATAAGGGACTGGCTGGATCTTGAAGCTGGTATGGAAGGAGGAAAGATTTAGCCAAACCCCAGCAAGGAAACAAGGGAAAAGCAGGAAATACCTAGATGTACATGAAGTACTCGTAATACCAAGACTCACAGCTACAATGAGGCCTGAAGCTGTGGAAAAGCAGAAGTCACAGACCTGGATTTTAAGAAAAGTGTTTACTGCTTGGAAGCTTTAAAAATATTCCTGAGTCACAATAACCCCCAGCAGACCAAAAAAGTCTTGTTTCCAGCACAGCAGGATGCAGACCGCAGACAGGTGGTAGATCTTAAGACATTTTCTGATGCAAAGCACATGCCACGCCTTCATTGGCCCATCAGGAACCAGTGATCTGAGATTTCAGAGCAAGGTGGCCTGGCCTGAGTCCACATCAGAGCACCCAGCCACTCAAACTCATCAGCCACTGAACCAAGTGCCATACAATCCATGACGCAAGGAAAGCAGCAGGAGAAGGCAGCAGCGCATGGATCCAGATGATCAGTGCTGTTTGGATTCATTGAGAGAAGAACAGTCGACGGCGTTTGCCACTGTAGCTGCACCAGGTGATCACCAGAAGCACTGCAGCGTACAAGACACCATGGACACAAGCTAGAATTCCCCAAGCACCCACACAATGGCTGGCTGCAGAGGAAAGGGCTGCATGGGTAGGGTTAGGAACAACTGTACCATCTGGGCAGAGCACTGCCACATTGAGAAGGCTAGAAGCAGGCTGCGCTGTGCAGGCAGGAGCACCCATGCAGGGTTTCTTTGGATCGGGGGGGTGGAGCAGTACTTCCCTTTTTGGATCACTGCGAGTGGCACCGATGCTGTGCTCCCCCCTCCCTCCATCACCTCCCACTGAGACAGTTTTATAGTTAAACAGCTTCTGCATCCTCCTTCCCCACCAGCATGGGCAGCTGGTGGTGCTGCCAGGCCAGGGGCTCAGCTGGCAAGAGTCCAGCTCCACACCCTCCTCAGGAGCTCCGCTGCAACGTACCATCCAAGATCTGCTGGGTGATGTGAGCCAAGGCAGGGAAGGCAGAGCTCTTGGGAAACTCTTGGATGAAGTCTCTGCCTTCTTCCAAGCTCTGGCTGAGTTGGGGGTCCAGGGGAACACAGCCTGTGGGATAGGAGGAATGGGGAGAGTGACTGCTTGCTCATTGTAAGGCAAAGGCTGGAGTCAGGATTAAAGAAACACCCTGCCAGAGTCATCTCCAGGAGAAGCAGTAGGAAAGAAGGCAACCACTACCCTCACTGAGCTCTCCAGGCGCTACTTCTCACCTGTAACCACTTCCTCTGGGTCCAGGACCCCTCTCCACCACAGCACTTTGGGAGAGACGCTCTTCCCTCCTGATCCCCCAGCCCTGTCCAGAGGGCAGGGTTCAGCCCTCAGCCCCCCATTTCTCAGGGAGGCTCCAGGGCATTTCAGGATGGTTCTTGTACAGCTTCAGGCTTGCTCACTCTGTCACCACGATGTCAGCAGCCAGAGTAGGCTGCTGACCATCACCGCCTCTGCCCCAGCAGGGGCCAGATGTCCACTCTGAGCCGTTTGGATGGCAAAGAAGCAAAGCAAGAACGACACCTCACCTCTGACCAGGTGACAGGGGCTCACAGGGACTGGAATCCAGCCTGCCTGCCCCTGTGACACTGCATCTCTCCACTCAAGCACTCCCACAGTACCATGCAGACATCACCTCTAACCACACAGAGCTCTGCTCAAGAGGCCACTCACCTAGGAAGGGGACCCCAGCATGCTTGGCCAGCTCCTCACCTCCCCCTTTGGAAAAGATGTTTGTGCACTCCTGAAGGAGGAAGAGCAAAAGCAGGGAGTCATAAACCCCAGAGCCCTGTGTGACAGGGCAGGTGCTGCCTGCACATGAGTAGAGCCAGCTCCCCTCCACCTTCCTAGCCTCAGGGCACTGCCTTTGCCCCTGCCCTCCCCCAGCTCTCTTCAGGAAAGCAGAGCCAGTGGCTTCTTCCAAAGCTGACATGCAGCAGCTGGCAGCTTCTAGTCCCTGGCTCACGGAATCACCCTCGTGGCACTTGCTGATTTTTCACCCAAGGCACCACATCGCAAACAAGAACCTGCAATAGCCCAGAAGTGACAATAAACTCACCGAGCAGTGTGGACAGACGAAGCCGCTCATGTTCTCCACAATACCAAGAACTCGTAAGCCTGTCTTCTTACAGAATGTCAGCTCTCTCCTCACATCTCCCACAGACACGGCCTGCAGGGGAGAACAGCAGAGGTTAGGGATGTCTATCCAGGCTGACCATGGGTCTGCAGCAGGCATGCATCAAATGAGAGGCAGATGTGTAGAACAAGCAGCCACAGACAGGCCTGTGCAAACACCCACCTGGGGTGCATATTCCCCCCCCACCCCCCAAACCATGTTCAGAGGCAGAAGCCTGCCCAGGAACTCCAGTTCAGCCCCAGCCAGCTGCCCTACCTGGGGTGTTGTGACCAGGATTGCTCCAAGTGGCTTGTAGGGCCGCAGGGCCTCCACCGTGGAGATGTGCTCGTCGGATGTGCCCGGTGGCGTGTCCACAATGAGGAAGTCCAAGTCCCCCCAGGCCACATCAGCAACAAATTGTTTGATCAAAGCTACAGAAATAAAAGGGGCATTAAAAAAAAAAATGCAACAGGTTTCACCAGGTGCCCTGGGAGCTGTAAGCCAGGCAGGGCAGGGGTCAGGAGGCACCCTGGGTGACAAAAGCCCAGGGAGAGACAGGAGGGCTATCTGTCAGCACAACACATGCTGCACTCTCCCCATCTGAGTGATCTGAACCCACTCCTGCAGAACAGGAGCCTTGTTCCTCTAAGGAATGACCTGCCCAGAAAAACCTGGCCCCCAGCAGGAGCCAGCACCACCTCCAGGAGGGTTCGCAGAAGGTTCCCAGCACTGGAAGGTGGCCACCAACAGCAAAACCCAACCGTACCATTTTTCTTGGGTCCTCTCCACACCACAGCATCATCTGGCTTCTCCAGCAGGAAGCCGATGGACATGAGCGAGATGCTTTTATCTTGGTCCACAAAGACAGGGACCCAGCCGCTGTCACATTGGTGCACGTCGTTGTCCTGCGCCCTGAACATGCGGGGTATGCTGGGGCCACACAGGTCCACATCCAGGATCCCCACCTGCAGGAGATGAGGCAGAGCCCTTCAGACAGGGCTGAGCACAGTGGCAGCACCCAGCCACGCTCCTTCCCTGGGTGAGGGGAGGCAGCATCCAAATTTCAGCTGCTTGCAGCACTTTACAGAATGGACTCTCTAGCTCAGCAGCCAGATTTGAAACACAGTTTCAAAGACCTGCTTTAAAGTCTGACTGCCCTCCTGGCCTCCTTCCCTCTGAGGAGGATCTCCTGGGTATTTCCAGGCACTTTGGGGAGATCTTTATGCCAGACACCTGTCAGGATCCAAGTGGCATTGGCTGCACAGAGCCTTTAAAAAAATCATCAGGGAATTCAGCCTGTCTCATGCCCACACAGTTCCCTTTTGTCCCCATTGGGACGCTGTCCTTCAGCTCACCCACTTCACAAAGGGAGTGTGTGTTACACCACAAACCAGCAAAGTCATGTCTCAGTGCCTCAGTATCAAAACCAACAACAAGTCTGGGGTGATTTTAGTCTCTTGGATGAAGGGGAAACGAGTGGCAGTTACCCACGCTGGATCACACAAACACAGAAAAAAAAATCCCTTGAACTGCTATCACAAACAGCATTTTCACACAGAGAATCCATACACTACCCACACAGGATGCACACATACATAAAGGATGAGCAAAACCCAGCCCAACTGCAGGTCGGGAAGGAGAAGACAGAGCTCAGCATCCCACAGACCCTCCCTCACCTTTTTCCCGGAGTGCCGCAGTGACAGAGCCAGCTCGGTGGCAATTGTGCTCTTCCCCACACCGCCCTTCCCGGAGAGCACCAGCAGGATGTGCCGCACCCCAGCCAGGTTGCTTCTCTCTGGAAGGAATGATAACGAGGCATCAGAGTCTCTTCTGATGCAAGACAGCAGCACCTGACAGGTCAGCACGGAGACACGGGTCTCCGCTGAGAGCGATGGTGGTTGTCACCGCTCCAACAAGTCTGGTTTAAGTGTAAGGGAGAGTGAAAGAAGAGGTGGATGTGCCACAGCCCTTTTGCCATCAGAAAAGGAACAAAAAGAGCAATGGCACTTAAAGAGTCTGTGGGGAGTAAAGGCTTTGTCCTGATGACCTAAGCGGCAATTGGGCAGCAAAGCAATAAACACCCAGAGGGCCTTGTAATGCTGGGCCTATGCCAGGTTCAGCCTGAGCCCTCTCGGGGAACGGCTGGGAGGCTGTTGGTGAGGTCAGGCCCTTGGCGTTTCCTTCTTCCACGCCACATCAATCACCTCCCCACCATCCCAGGCTCCTCTCCAGCCTCCATGCCGTCTCTTTCTATGTTGTCAGTGCTGCTCGGGTCTCTGCTCCGGATTCAGCCGCTGCATCCCATCAACGCAGAGCCGAGAGTGGGGAATGCTCGGGGCTGGCTTCCCCGGCCTGGGGCTGCACGGGTGGCAGAGCATCAGACCGGGCACTCGGGCAGCAGCCGAGCAAACGCCACCCACCCACCCGGGCCCGCGTTCCCGGGCACGCCGTCACCACCGGCCACTGACTCACCGCGCCTGGCCTGGCCCGCCCCCGCGTCCCTCCCGCATCACACCGGCACCGGGACCGGCACCGGCAGCATGGAGCCCGCACGCACCATGGCAGACCTCATCCGCACTTCCACCGACGGTAACGGCGCTCGGCCCCAATAACGGAGAAGGGGGAAAGAAGGGAGGGCGGGGAGTGGGGGACGGAGCCCCTCTGCGAGGTGCTCCCGGGATACCGGCCCGGTGACACCGGCAGCCCCGCGCCAGGCCCGGTTACTCGGCGCTACCCCCCCGCCCCCAGCAGGAGCCAGACCCGGGTCTCCGGCAAGGCCCAGCGCCGCTCCCCGGTAACCGGGCCCCGGCCCAGCCCGAGGACCGCGGAGCTCCCCTCACCAGCAGCCGGGCCCCATCACCACGGCACCCGGCCAGGCCCCGTCACCCCGGGCGGGACGTTCCCCGCGAGGTGCGCTGGGGCGCCCGCCAGGCCCCGTCACCCCAGGATCCCCCATCCCCACGGAAGGCCGGCTCCAGCCCGGCAGCCCCGGGGAAAGCCGCCCGGCCGCGGACCCCACCGCCGCTCACCCCCTGCCGCCTCCTCCATGCTGATACCAGGGACCACCCGCTTCCGCCTTCCGCCGGGTTAAAGCCCCGCCTCCGCGGACTGGCAGGCGCCGTCCCCAATCGCGAGCCGCACGCTCATAGGCAACCCGGCCCCCCAAGGCTCTGCAACCAATCCAATCCTCCGGCTCCCCTTCCGCCAGCCAATAGCCTTAGTGCTTTTCGTCGGCGACGCGCGCTCGCCCTCCGAAGGGACCGCCCAATGGCGCGGCTTGCCGAGGATTGACGCACGGCGCAGCCAGTGGCGTCGTGCTCCCTTCAGCCACCTCCCACTCCCTCCTCCTTCAGCTGTGAGCGACGGGGCGCTCAGCCAACGGCGAAGGGGAGCGGCTCAGACGCAGCCAATGGGCGCCTGAGGGGCGGTGTCGAGAGAGGATTGTTTATGTCCCGGGAGGGGAAAGTAGGTCAGAGCGCGGCGGCGGGGCCGGGCCGCGGGGTAACGCCGGGCCGGGGCCGGGCCCGGGACGCGGGTGGGATCCGGGATCTGGGGGCCGAGGCCGAGGCCGAG